ATAACTTTCTAATGTGCTGTAACATCGAGTATCGGTTCTATACAGTTTTAGGACATAAGAGCTGTATTATGAAGAGGTGAACAGCTTTATCAGACAAAATTGCTTTTATTGTAAATAAGACCATTGAAGCTGTCATTAACCCGCTTGAATTGCTGTTAACACCACTATGAACAGAGATAAGCATGCTAAGCACTCCCATCCATATGTGTAAACAAGACCTAAATAAGACTGGTCCAAACTCAAGAGCACTCTAAAGAGCTTGATTTGAAATTGAAACTCACATTACATACGGTCCGCAACAGCTTGCATTAAGCAGACCAGCCTTAATATCTGGTGATTTCCCAGCAATGCCATCCTGTGATGGGCCGGCGACTGCTGGCTATATGAGTGTGTGGCAGGTGAGCTGTGTTTCAAAATGCCAAAGATACGGGAGATAAACTGTCAGATCTGTTAGCGGCCTCAGACTGTGAATGAGGGGGAGGTATAAATTAATGTAGCTAAATGAAGCCGCTTATCTTTGCTAGCATTCCTACAGAGCCACTGCCAACACTGCAGGAGCCCAGTCGAGCGTGGTGTTGAGAGCTGAGGTCATAATAAAGCGCTCTAGAGAGGCCTTCTCTCTGCAGGCCTGCACTATTCTCTCTATACAAGGCCACTTAGAGCGTATCACATCAGTCAACAAGTACATATGCTGGATAGCTAACTGGAGAGCAGGAAACATGGGAGGTATTTCAGGCTACCAGAACCAGAGGTTCAGATGGGATGGGTAAGATTCATATGTTGAACTATGGTTTTGCTCAGACCTGCTCTGCTCTGTGGTGTGCATCTGTTATTAGGGCTGCGAAGATAAATCGATGCAGAATCGATTCGTGGGTCGATTCTGAGATCTTCTGAATGCATTGCAGTTCTCTCTGGAATCGATTCTGAGTGCAGATTTTAACAGCAGATGGCTGTTAAATCTAGTTTTTATCCGGACACTCAAATGCTCATGAAGAAGAGCGCTTGTGCGTTCGGCTGAGTCTGTAATTTCACCTCAGCTCAGAATGCTTTTATGACATGAGATTAAAGCAAACGCAGGCCACTGTGAACACCCTTGTAATTTGCTTCAACCTTTTCGAATTTTATGAATGATTATTTTAGGTTCAAGTGTGTGTAAGGATTTGGAAACAAGCAGAGTACGGCTGTTTCTAAAGCATGCAGCGCCATCTGCTGTTCAAAACTAAGCTCAGGATCCACTCGAGAAAGAATTGCGATGCATTTGGAAAATCTCAGAAGCTATATCATTTCTTGATTCGTGATGCATCTATTTATTTTCCCAGCCCTATCTTTTATCCTTAAAAAATATCACTATATAGCTGGTCTCCAGCATATGCATTATATGCTGATGTCCTTAACAAGTACAGTTTTGCTGGTGGAAATCATGGTTCTGGTGCCACCAGCTAGACCAGCACATAAACCGGCCTTAGTGAATGAAAAGCATCGTATGCATTGTCTATCACAGCCATTACAGTGTTAACAGCGACTCCAGTCAGCAGACAGCATGGCAAATGCTCCGTTCGAATCAATCAACACGCCACTAGACATACCACGAGACATTAATTCCTTTCAGGCGAGTACAGCCAGCTCTGGAAAACAAGATCTCCAGGATGGAGTCCAGAGAGGCGCTCCCAGCACACATTTGCCATAAAGCACCTCTGGAGGAGTCACTAATCAGATTGGGAATTCATGGAGGGGGAGGGTGGGCAATTTATCATAATCCCATCTGACGGTGGAGGTGTGCCATCTGATCTGGCGGTGATTTCATACACCTTCAAGCAGAGCCAGCTGAATGTCAATGAGGAGGAGACCTAATGGATTGAACTCCTCTGATGTTCTGAGCCAGAGACTTACGCCAAGTGGTGCCTTTTAAAATGCGCCCTCCTTATTTCAAGCTTTTGTGTGCGAAAGGAGAGGCTTCTTAATTCTTACAAGACCAGAAGGAGGCAAGACCTCGCTTTCCTTTCCTTTCATCTGGCCCTCCTCTCATAGCCTGCTTGTCATTAATAGCAGTTGTCATAAAACAGCCTAATTATTTTGGCTGCAGGAGCGAGACCTGGGGCCCGTCTGCCACACAGTGCCAAACTGGAAGCATCTGCACTAATAGCCAACCAACAATGGTGTTTGAAGGGCACTGTTACCCGATACCATGCACAAAATTGATTGGCTGTCATACACTTACACATATGACAGACTTCTGAGTGATAAATTACCACAGAAGGGTATTGGAGAGTGAGAGGGTAAGCTGATATGTGATAATTGGTACTTCCACCGAGGGCTTTCCATTGTGTATGATGTGACTGCCAACTGCATAGGGAGGCTTACACAATCGATCAACAGTTTAGATACACTAGACGTAATGCCAGCTCCAATAAAGCAAACAACTCTGGGATCCCACAAGATACTTGTAACACTATATGGTTTAACGTGAAGTCTCACGGTGGGTGCTCTTGTGCCCTTGAATGAAGCTTTCAAGGGGTCAAAGTAGTCTATAATATGAGCCTTTTGGCTCCAAAATGACATTCCTTAAGCTCCGACAGGGGCTGTTCCATATGTCAGAACTGTCACCATTTAGCAGGAATGGAAGAAGAGAGACATTTAGGCTTTGCTTAAACCATCACAGTAACAGCAACGTGTCTGGTGACATAGTAACTTCCCAAGGCCCGGAAATTCCCACCTGCCCCATAACTCACTCACACCAGTAGAGAAAACATTCCACCTGCATGAGCCGTCCAAACAGACTCACAGGCTCAGAACTTTGAATTTCAGATGAAAAGTTTGGTAACTGTCCAGTACAGAGGTCATTTGATAACAATGCACCCAGAAAGCAATGTGTTCATTGTGCACAGCACTGAAAAAACCTCTCTATGGGGTAATGGGAGATGACTTTAGGCTGAATGTTTGTATACGCTCTGTCCTACAAACAGCGTTGCCTTTTGCTTAGCATTGGCCTTGGAGACGAATTGATAAATGCATGCCGAGAGGGTGAAATGTAATTTTAAAAACACTTTCCCCATTCACGGCCTTGACAGTTTTCACTTTCGGCACGCAAACATCACAGGTGCCCTACAGACAGGCCTGAGTCGTACAGACCAACGATTTGTCATGGAGCTTGAGATGTATGGAGGAAATAGCTGAGCTGTTATGGCCTCCAATACAATTATTAAAATGAACAAAGCAGACTGCTGAAATTAAGATGCGGTCCTGATGGCTTTTATGGAAAACATATCACAATTGCAAATCCTCACAGGCAACAAGAGCAGTATTTCTCCGTAATAAATTCATTCAGCATCAGTGAGATGGTGCAGAGAGAGCTCTCTTTTAGAAGCAGGCTGGAAACACATACATCAACAAGTGCCGATGAAAGTATTTTTGTGAAAATAAATAAATCATTGTGAAATACTCTGGCTTTGTTTGGAAACTGGGAACAGACCCCCACTTCCTTTCCAATCACGACTAAACATTGCACAGACGCACATCCAAGAACATCAAAACAACTGCAATTTAATGATGGGGCCAAAAAATGAGTTGGAGATTTTTTGACTTCTCCGTCTTCCACACCACAGTTTGCCTTGGTACTTGCAAAGCCATGTTCTGAGCAGAACGCAGCCAAAGACAGCGACCTAATGGGCACTTGCGCGGCTCACTGGACATCGATGTCCACCGGGAAGGTTTTTTATTTGTCAAGTCTACACAAGCTGACAGAAAGAGTCCATCTGTAGTCTTCAGAAATTCAGTATGCATGAGCTGTGTTTTCGATTAACAAACTCATCACAACCCTCCCCATCAGCTAAGCAAAGCACTCTACAATCGAGGGGAATGACCTTCAAGAGAAACAGCTCTCACCACATTCATATTCCCAGTCGAGCACTCTGGCACAAGACTGCGGAGAACTTAAACTAACATCTGTAGCTGAGTTAACGTTTATGATATTTAGTTGTAAACTCTCTGCAGTCCGCATTTGCTAGGTCGTACTACAGTATTTGCAAGCTTGAATTCTTTGAATGGTGTAAACTACCTAAACAAGTATTTGAATGCATATTAACCACAAACGTATATGAAGTGAATGTATATTAACCACAAAAGTTTAATATGGGAATCCTGTGACTTCTTAGACTTTTTAAGCTAACTAAAGCACCGGTTGTATCATATCATTATTTACTCACAGAAATGTCTTATCAGCAATAAAACACCCTTCTTTTGGTTTAAAAATTACCTGGATGTTGTTAGGCAAAAGCAAAACATACTCAAATGTGGATCATGTGAATGTCACCACACTGAATGTTTCCCATTAATGTGGACCAGATTCCTCAGTAAACATGCATGGGGTAATGCTCAAGATCTGAGGGATGCCTCTGAATTACTATAGATTTAAAAAAAAAAATGTTTTAGTTATGCATCTTAGGGCTTGTATAAGATTGCTTTGTAATCATCTGCGTCATGTCAGCATGCCAGGCCATACTCAAATGTGGATCATGTGAATGTCACCACACTGAATGTTTCCCATTAATGTGGACCAGATTCCTCAGTAAACATGCATGGGGTAATGCTCAAGATCTGAGGGATGCCTCTGAATTACTATAGATTTAAAAAAAAAAAATGTTTTAGTTATGCATCTTAGGGCTTGTATAAGATTGCTTTGTAATCGTCTGCGTCATGTCAGCATGCCAGGCACAGGTAAATGTAATGAAACTCATTACACTGAATGTATGGCTGCTTGCATATGATTAGTATCCTATCAGTATCCTCCAGTGAAAATGCACGACTACAATCAGTAGTAAACATGACCACCTGCAGCACCCATCGACTGCACAAGTTCTCCAGCTTCACTTTCTGCACAGTGCACACTTCAGGTTTCTACAAAATGTGCAGAAAAAAAAGCACTTGGGAAGCCCACAGTGTCCCTTCTATGCCAGTAATGCTTCCCAGGATTTCCTATACGAGCCATGAAAGTGCACACCTACCTCCTTGCAGCGAAGGACTCAGCTGTATGGTGAGGAAGAATCCGAGAAGGAGCAACGCAACCCTCCTGTTAGCCATCTCGCCCCAAAATGCACTGGCCCTCCCCGAATCAGCTGGTTTTATTCTCTAAGAGCTAATTACCACTTCAAAAATGTCTCAAAAAAATGAAGAGGGGAGGAAAAAAGAAAATGATACTGGACACGACGTAATTAGGAAAGGGCAAAGCCTTTGGTTCGATGGATCATTGCACTTTTTTTTCTTCTATGTCTGGTGTTGCTGTTTTTATTCTGGTCACTCCTGCCAAAAAAGCTGAGTGCTGCCAGAGAAAGAAAGAGAGAGAGAGAGAGAGAGAGAGAGAGAGAGAGATAGAGAGAGAGAGAGAAATAGAAAGAGACATGCAGGGAGGAAAGTCAGGAGAGAGGGTAGTTACAACAGTTCTCATTCCTGTAAAATGACGAGTAATTTTTTCCAGTGGCTGCTCAGTCAAGGGAAACTTGACCGATGTTTGTCTAAGAGACTTGGGGGAAATGAAGCCCATTGTTCTGAGAAGGGCATGTCGAATGGTTTGAAATGCATCTGTTACACCTGCCAGGAATAACTGTACTGACACTCATTACACATGAAAGTGTGACTGCTTGCATGTTACCTCTAATAAAATACCTTCGTGAAGCATTTAAAAAATGCACACAAACTTGTTGCAAGCTGAAAGCAAAATTAGACATTAATGGGTCGGGTAAAAAAGAAAGAAAGAAGAGCAACGCTTGCTCAAAAGAGAAAAAATCTGGGCATGCTACAAGAAAGCAATCATTCTCATAAATATGAGCATTGTGCGCTTGTAACGAGTGAACGAGAGTCAACAGCAAAAGAGACAATTGATGGGAGGGAGAGATGCTCTGGGATGGACAAACTCAGTACAGTTCAGCTACTGCACTCTTCCCAACCCTAATCCTGAGATCACTGCCAACCCTTCATTCACAGCGAGTATTTAGCCTGAGTGTATGTGCTTCTCACATACTTATTACTTACGATCCAAAGCAGGGATAGGCAACGTCGGTCCTGGAGTGCCGTTGTCCTGCAGAGTTTCGCTTCAACCCTAATCAAACACACCTCTGAACAAGCTAATCAATGTCTTTAGGATCACGAAAGCTACAGGCAGGTGAGTTTTTTTTTTTCAGGGTTGGAGATAAACTCTGCAGGACAGTGGCACTCCAGGACCGATGTTGCCTATCCCTGATCTAAAGACATGTCTCTAGCAGAGACATACATACAGGACTCCAGCCAGTTCGAGATGGCCTGAATCAAAAGGAAAATTAAAACCTCTCAAAGAAAGCTGTATTAAAGAAACACACCCTGCTCTATGTGGCACATACAGTATATGCAATGTGTATTATTTATTCCTTTAACTAAGATGATGACTTATTAGACTGTGACAATTAAGGCTGTTGGTCACATGCAAAATCTCCATGGACTAGGTGATGTGCCACAGTATCGTCAAAAAAAAACAAAAAAAAACGTATAGCTTAAGTCCAAGTTTTTTTTTTTTTTTTTTTTTCAGTCTTTTTCAGGCCTTCAAAGCATGGTGAAGATGATTTTCTCAAGGAAGCTTTGTCTCCACAGATTTGAATGGCTCCAGTGTAATTTTTCCCAGAAATGACATAAGATGGAAAGAAGGGGGTCACATCGACATCCTTGCTGCTAATGAAACAGATAGATAAAGACACACAGACAGACAGATAGACAGAGAGTGAATTTGAGTTTTTAATCAACAAGCCACATAAATGTAAAGATTTTTTTTCCCAACAGAACTTGAACTTAACACCATTTCAGGACATTTATTTACATGTCTGCAGTAGATTTACCCTCTGATACACGGTGTTCACTAGACAGATCTTTAAAAGCCTTTTTAACCATTCTATACAACCATGATTACACTGTAACACATTTCCACCAACTTCAACTTAAAAACCTTTACTTTTTAATTGCCTTTAGTTGCTTCCTCATACTTTTATTATCAAACTTGCTGTACAAGTAATTTCAGCTTAAAATATATTAAACTGAAAATCTAAGTTGAAATTTGTTAAATTATTTTGTGAGTTAAATGTAATGGGGAAAAAAACAGTCTACTGTATGTTGCCATGACGTATTGATCATGACTTATTGAACAATGAACTATGCATACAGTGTATACGGTATACTATTATCTTACACCCAAAACATTGTCCAGAGATGCAAACATGTAAGGGGAAAAAAGGTGAGAACAGGGGGCATGCTCCACATGGAATTTTTTTTTTAAAAGATAGTTGTTTTACATGCTGATTTGTAGTTACTTTAAGGTATTTAAAAATATATTTTTTATTACCTTATATGTCCAAAACTATTTAAAAATATATAAATAAATAAATAAAATAAAATAAATAATAAATAAATAACATCTTGTTGCAACATTTTACTAAAATCAAGATTGAATATATTTGGTAATCAAGTTACGAGTTACGTATGTAACCATGGTTCCCTGAGAAGGGAATGAGACACTGCGTCCTCTAGGGGTCGCTATGGGGAACGCCTCGTCATGACCCGTGTCTGAAGCATACATTGAAAAAACACCAACAACACGTTGGCCGGCGACAGCCATGACGTCACTACCGACTATAGTATAAATAGGCGCAGGGATAACACATCATCTACTTCTTCGTCTGAAGCTTGCGTCCAAAGCATGGCAAGAAACCTAGAGGACGCAGTGTCTCGTTCCCTACTCAGGGAACCATGCTTACATATGTAACCTGAGATGTTCCCTTTCAAGGGAACTTCGAACTGCATCCTCTAGGGGTCGCTATGGGGTACGGTATACCCACGCCACCATGCTGAGGGGAGTGCATGCCAGAACCATGGTGAGCACTAAGTACCAACCCTGGGACGTTAAGACAGCTGTCAGTGACATTATTCCCTATGGCCAAAGAATTCAGAATTCAGAAAGTAGCGTGCTCATAGGTAACCCTTTGATAAAGGGGAGCACTGCTAAACACTACCACGAGAACAGCCCACGGAGCGAGGAATCCAACTCCTCAGAAGGGAGAGAAGTCAAACGCTCGAAAGAAAGCACCATGCTCATAATAACCCTCAGTGGTGAGGGGAGCGATGCTTCAAAAGTGTGTCAACAGAGACACACTAGAGGTTCTTGCAAATGCCACCTTTATACTTCCCGCTCGATGCCTCAGCAAGAGGGGATATCCTGGTGACCCCTCAGGCCGACCTAGATACGTTATACCAGACAGGGCAGCCTGTTTTCTTTTTTTTTTTTTAAAGCATAGGCCCAGCCCGGACGTCCAGGAAATTTTGCAGTGCCGTGCCGGGGGCCTAATGATCAAGAAGGCTCCCGCAGAAGCATGTGACCTGGCCGCATAATCCCGGAAG